TTCAAGATTATAACATATATTTGAAGCTTTACAGTTGGCATACATACTATAAAAAGGAATTTTGAATCCGACCATGGATCTTCAAGATTATAACATATATTTGAAGCTTTATAGTTGGCATTTTGGTGAAAAGCATCGAGATCCCCTTGTAGTGTTTACTATTTACCAAAGAGACAATTTAGTTTTCTTGCCAAATCATAGGATTGTATAGAATATTAGCATGTGAATGTATTACAACAAAAAAAAACAAATTGCAAGAAATATATTAAAATATTTTCTTGGTATTCTATCATAAATTGGAATATTTTTACTATTCCACAAAAATATAGGACCATATATTAATGTATTTGAAGGTCTTTTAGGTGTTCAATTTTAGATTTGTTTTTTGCGATGGAGTGCTAGATCATTAGGGCACATCTGTTCTAAAGAGCTTGAGAATAGCAGATCAACAGATTGAAAGGTATTTCGCTCCACGTGACCACTTTTTGTTCACTTGGGCACTAGAGGGTTAACCCTTGAGAAGCCACTAGCAGACAAAACATTACCGTGCATGTTTCATGGAGACATTCTGTTGAATCTTCCTTTTCTTTAAAATCTTGGCATAAGTACATCTTGCAACATCTATGTTCTTACATCATTGAGGGCCTAGAGAGCTGGTACATGTTAAGTGGAATTCGTGTACAATTATTTTACCGTGCATTGGGCATATAACAAAAAATCGAAATAGGGCATATCATAGGACAATGGTCCAGCAGTTGCAAGTTAGAGATTAATTTCTTGCCAAAACGACTACTCTTTCTGGCAAACAATGATATTGGCATTTCTCACATATACTATTTGACAAAGTCATTTATTGCAACGTCACCAAAGCCTACTGTGGTTTTGCTTCAACCCAAGCTCGTTCACTTACAATCCCGACAGTAACTCGCGATGCCATTCCATCAAAAAACTTGACCAACATCACATGCAGCTCTGGATGAGGTATAAATTTCTCAACACGAGGTCTAAAATTTATATCTAGATGACGTGTATGATGTCGTGAGAGTACAATGAAAGAATACAACTCACGTTTCCGAACTGACTGTTTCCACCTTATAACATATCCGACCTCAATACCCTCTGAATCCAAGACACCACACTTACTATCGTCGTCAGAATCCATCAACCACGATAATGCATGACTTGTCCAGAAGCGCAGCATGCCAGAGTCTCGAAAACAGCTGCCGTTTTGGATGTCATCTGTTTCGAGTGTTGTAGAGCCTTTCCAGCAAGATAGCAATTGCTCATCGATTGGCTGCTCGAATTCGATGTTCGCTTGTTGACCTCCCTCATCAATCTTCATCAGTCGTGATCCATCAATATCAACACGATAAAATTCCAATTCCGATTGTACGTTCCCGAGAGGTAGAGGGAAGTCAACACACATCTCGCCCAGCCACCCGAGCCACGACCAACTCGGGAAGGGGACCCGATGAATCGAGCCATCCTCGCAATACACCCGACAAGTACTATCCGTTCTGCGGATTTTATCATGAGCACCAACAACCCACCAGAGGGCAAGAATCTCGCCAAATCGCGATACAGGGAGCCCCCAGTGGAACCTGACCCCGGAGACTCTCGTCACGCGTTGAAGAAGGCCCATAATACCGTCCAAGGCATCAGATTAATTTGTCAGGTTTCGATTGGAATACTGAACAATAAGATACTCAGTTCTGCTGATGTCTAATAGTTCGTATACAATATCATCGAATCCGTCCCGGTTCGCGTCGCTGTAACAGCCCAAACCCCATTTCACAATAGACTCTCTGGATGGGCCGAACTCGAGGGCAATTTGCTCACAACAGTTCGCCTCTCCACAGTTCCAATACACCTGATCATCTGTAAAAATGAGCACCCTTCGCGAGCACAGCCGCTCTTGCATAGTCCATCCTCGGGTGTTCCACTGGCAGTTGGAGAATCCAGCAGCAGTATTGAAGGTCTTCGTGAGCGTCAACTCTTTAGAGACTCTTACGATGCTCTGAGATGCTAATTTGCGAGGTGCTGAGTAAAGCCCTGCGAGCCCGGCTCTAGAGCTATCACTGCTTGCAGCAATGATAGTCAGGACAGCGAGAGAAAAAATGTCATCCATCACAGGGATAAACAATGCTTTGTCCTGATCCACATCCTGGAGAATACAGATCGCATCAACTCAGAGGTAGTTTTCTCCCAGATCGTTGACAAGCCGCATTGCATCCCCAATTGTTTGAGGAAGAATCTGAAATAATAAGCTGCCTGGTACCCTTAGCTGGTCTATATATTGCCAGTCGTGGTAAGAAAACGACCAGCCGTGCCGGGAGCTCCCCACATGTAGCTCAGTGCGACATATCTGCAGTTGTCGAGCGCATCAACAATACATCTCCTGCGAACGTCAATCATCCGGAGTCCAGCCGGCTGATTGTCTACTGCATTCCACCACGATGGCAACGCGCAAGTCGCCCCATGGAGCATCTCACATCGATTGAACCATTGCCGAAGAAGTCTAACATCGATCAATGGAGCCATAAGACGACCACTCCCAAGAACAGGAGGTGGCACTAGACCGCCCTGACCACAGGCCCTCTCCACCGTCGGCACCGAATGGGCACAAGGGTGCAAGTACAGAAGTTGACGATCGCCCTTTTTACCCTCTAGCTTGCGCCCCATCGGTGGTAGGCCTGCCGTCATGATCAGCCGATACATGGCTTTGTTTTTCGATGGGTCCAAGCGAAAGTCATCATCGCCATCTTCCCATTCTGCTCCCTCATACCAGAATTCTTCCCGCTTGATTACACACACGACCTTTTGTGACTCAGAGAAATGCTTAGCGAGCTGCTGCTCCTCGGTGGCTTCGGAGATGAGGGTACAGAACGAGCAGATGGGAGCTCGCTGGAGGTCTGTATGCAGCGGGCCGAGCTGGACAATGGGATTGGAGTTCAATCCCTGAACCTGGTACGGAACGAGAGCCGGAGTGCCATGAACGCCACAGACGAGAACGTCAAATGCAATTGTTTTGCATGTTTCGCAGTTGGAGCTCAGCCTGGTCGTGAAGGTAAGCCATGGCTAGTATGCCGCAGCGAGCAATGGCAGAAATTGAATCAAGAAAATGTCTGTCTCATTCCATTCATTTTCTCCTCAGGCGGCATCCAATCAGTCACCACCAATCATTTTCATGGTACTCAAAAAAATCCTGCATGCCCCCAAGAAACACAGCTCAGTCATAAGTACAATGTAGAACATCCATGTACACTGGTCAATCACCAACATGCATGTTCACTACAATCCAAGATTCACTACAGAGAAACTTGCCTACACTCACACCATGATAGTAGGCCGAAGGTAAGCAAAGGAAATCTGACAGCATGAATGGCCCCGCAGTCAACAGAAAGCAGTTAAAAACATCGATGAAACTACTTATCGAAGTTTCAAGTCAAAACTATGTAAGAATTGTAATGAAAACCAATCGAGCTAAATGACACAATGTAGGCTAATTTGAGAACGCTCTAAGCGTTCCGGAATAGAAAAAGGAAGAAAGAATGTCACCGAGGTCAACACGGTTAGCACCCGTCCACGAATCACCTCCAAAGCCACAGGTTGGACCTACTTGCAAACACACGACAACTAGCATAGTCGTCACAGACAGCATGATCCCGCCCGTGCTTTTCACGGCAGGTGCCTCCGGCTATGGGAAGCTATATCAGAATGCCATTTCAGAGCTCGTGACCACGATGCAGGACGACACACGGACCACACCACCCGGACGCCACAACCAAGAGTATCGTGTAGAGCTGCGGACCTGATTGGCAGCGCTATCGGATGGCATCGAGGGATCGGTTTCTGTCTCTCACGCCTGCCCTGCGATCCATTCCACTACGAACAGACAGCAATCAGAAACACGGCACTCTCATCAATTCCCGCCCTGCCCTAAATTGACCGAATTAAGGCCAGATGCTGGAAAATTCACAATGCTCACACGCTCAGCAACAACACGCTCCGAAGGCAGCCTACGCCACACAAGACCAGAACGTTCACAATCCGGTAAGCCGAATCCGAGAAATTGGAAAATAGCAAAAATTGCAAAAACTCACGCATCCGCGGACCGGATTGTGGCTGCTGCCGTCGACGTCGTTGTTGTTCTTGCTCCTAGTGTAGCTCCTCTTGGCGTTCCTACTAATGCCCCGCACTCTGGCGCAGAGCATTGGTTATCCGCATGTTGGCCGACGAGCCGTCGTGATTCTCGCGCTTCGGCTTGACGGCATTGTGCAGAAGGCGATGGTGTTCGACTTTGAGGCGCCCTGCCGGCCCATGGCCACGTGCTGCCTTCATAGAACTTCAACCCTGCATAAACCCTCGTCCTCCGGTCGTGACGGTCGTGACGGTCGACACCATCGCCGCGCCTGCACCTGCTGCTGGCCATCACCACACCATCACCTGCGTCGATCGCGCCCCACGCGCACGGCAAATGCGAGCCAGAGCGAGCGGGCTGCGGAAACCGAAAGGTGCGCAGCGACAGACGACGACGACGAAATCTGGACGAACCCCGACCAGAGAACAGAGCGCGATAGTTCTGGGTAGAATTTAGGTCCACTGTGAAGAATCTTTAGTTGGATACGCCTCCTCCTTCTCTGCCTGTGGCATTCTGGTTCAATGGAGGTCTGTCCCAGCACTCAAAATCTTGCAACATAGTATCCGACTGTTTTTTAACTACTGGTAAACAGTCAGAGTTAGAAAACAATCACAAGAGAAAAATGTCCAGAATCGCTCACATCGAGATAACTGAATGATGATTAGGGTATGAATCTTGCTGAATTTCATCGCGTTTGGCTTTCGAAACACGAATGATGTCACCACCTTCTAAGTAACTTTCGAATCCTAGAGAAATGTAACCCATTGCCAAATTGATTCAAGTTTCAGCATCTTGCAAATGCATCTTCCGAAAATGGGGTGAACATTTCTGACTTACATGTGCATCATAGAGCAAAAAGGTTCCTTTACCCTTCATGTCCAGGATACAATGCTTGCTGCACATCTTTGATTTTTGCTTACTGGTTGAGGTTCTCAAAAATCCTAAAAGTGGATCTAATTTTGGTAGGGATGGGCGGTGAGGCAGGACCTGGATGTTCATCGGTTGGAGTTGGAGCGTTGCTGGAGCTGGGGCCTTTCTTTTCGAATTACAACGGCACAGGGCTAGTTCGCAACGAGCACTCTTGGAATAAATGTAAGTATTTCTGAGATCTCATGTTTCCAGAATCTGCAACGTTTCTGTCGTACAGGAAAAAGAAATGCACGCATCACCCCCAGTTCATGTGAACACAATTGCACATTCATTCTACTCGATTTCTAAATCACCATGTGCGAAAATTCAAGTCTGCTCCATGGTGACCCTTGCGAGGAATTGAGCAGCTAACGCTAGCACGCACCTGCGGTGTTGGGATGGACAGTGGCCAATATAGTATTCGTGGAGTCCCCTGCTTTTGTAGGCTTCTCCTACTCCAACACATCATCTGACTATTCTTTTTTCTCAGACGATCTCACTGGTAAGGAATTATTCCTGACTCTGAATTCATTTCCAGATGAGGTCAAGCTTTGAATCCAAAGTTCTTCGGGCCATAGAATACAAAGTTTTGCACCGACTCCGCACTTGCAAACTCTGTTAAGATAGTGATTACACAAGACACTACGTCTACATTTTCGATCAAGATTACTAATAAGACTGCTCTAACTTACAGCTAAATACAACTTGGCCTTCACCCTTGGGTGGTTCGTAAAGTTCCCCGAATACAAGAAGAACGAGTTTTATTTGACTGGAGAGAGCTTTGCAGGTTTTGCTTGACACCAAAAATTTCAAAAAATCACCAGTCAATTTTCAAAAACACTCCTTAAAATCTCCGCTCCCGTTTAGTGACAACGGCCATTGTTTGAGAACAGGGCACTACGTTCCAGAGCTGGCGCAGCAGATTCTAAGCTACAATGAGCAATCGACGGGCTTCAAAATCAATTTCAAGGGTTTTGCGGTATGATCACCAACTGATTTAGTGTTGCCCTTGTCATGTACCCTGGCGTTGTTAAGTGTTAAACTTGCTAACTCGTGGGAATGACGATCCAGGTGATGCCTACTCGGACAACATAGGAGCCACAGATTTCTATCATTCCCATAGTCTCATCTCTGATGAAACATACAAGAAACTGAGGGACAATTGCGACTTTGCATATGATCTTCTAGTTGACAATTCCTTGCACAGCGCGACGTGTTTGAACACTTCTAATTACGCTCTCGATGTAGTCATGAGGAAGATCAACATTTACAACATTTACGGTCAGTCATATAATCCTCCTGCCAATCCCAACCGTCCCGCATTCGTAAAGGTGATCGTCTTCAATCATCTCCAGACGTTTTTGTGGCCTCCTTTCCACCAACGTATAGGGTTTGTGCACATTCAATAATCTCAGGCCAGGAAGCAACTGCATTGAATTGAAAGCTGAAGAAATTTCTACTAAGTAGAAGAATTTGCAATGTGTCGTGTTACTCAATGTGTCGATACGGATGGGTTCGTACCAACGACATCGACGCGCTACTGGATTGCAAAATTGAATCTACCAATCGAGACTGTTTGGTACCCTTAGAACTATTTCAGCAGGTGTGAAATCTTCCTAATTCCAGGTTGCATGTTATTGGCTACTGTGAGCATCTTGCTGAGGACAGGACTCTTCTTTTTTAAGTCTTTTGATTCTCTAACGTAATGTCATCTGTAGGCATCTTTGATACAAGTATGGTATCCACACCGTTGCATGAGTCTTCACTGCTGCTTGTGAATTGCAAAGTTCCTCTTCTGCTCTCCGCCTTGAAAGATCTTTCCCGGTTTACTGTTGTTGTAACTTACATAGGTCTGAACCTCCTGCTGTGACTCAGGTTGGAGGCTGGTCTCAGATTTTTACAAACTTGACATTCGCCACCATCAGAGAGGCAGGCCATGCAGTTCCTGAATATCAACCAGGTCGAGCGCCACAACTGTTCAAGCACTTCCTCAAGGGTCAATCATTACCGACATTCAACTATACAAACTACTGTTAGGATGCTTTTAAACCATTTGCAATGTAACATTGCATCTCATACGTATTATTCGGGCCATTGCAAATTGCAAATTAAGGCTTCTCATTACAATAATGTGAGGCGAAGTGTTAACCATTTGAGCAAAGAATACGCTCGATTTGCACTGGGCAGGTTTATGTGCAGTGAACAAATCACTGGATATTTAGAGTGCAAATACGAGTGATGGGTCTATGACCAGACTTCAGAAATGCTATCAGAACTCTTCAAGTCTGTTCGGGGATCAATTATTCGGTTTCATGACTGTGTAATTGATTTCGGCCTTCTTTAGAAGACCCAAAAGTCGTTGCCTGCCATGTCTTTAGAAACTCAAACATAGTACTCACATGCATACTATGCAAGCTGCTCTGCTTATGGAAGATGCTTTTCTTTATCACAGACTGAAGTATTGCAATTATCCACTATTAATCTTTAGACACCCCTCTTGAGCAGTTGCTATAGTGAGTATCCTGCCACAGATCTGTTGAAAGGATACCTCTGATCGCGTCCTTAGATAGTCCACAAATCCACTGCAAACAATGCGAGGCACAAGATACAGGAAAACCATCGTTATCTCATTTCTTAAACCTGGCTCGGGTGATAAGTTAGTAATTGTTTTCAGTGTAGGACAGAATCTATTCTCCATCAGGAGAGAAGTGTACCTTCACCAACCTACCGTGCATTTTGGAAATATAGGAAAAAAAGGTAACAGGAAGAGACGCTACAGGTATAATGGTTCCTACCATATTGGCATTCAGCCAAGGGTGATGAGTTTCCATTGGGGATTGGCTTCAATCCAAGTCTCCTCTTTGAAAGGTCCAAAATAGGGCAATTGTACTCGATAGGCAACACCATTTTGCCATTCTATAAGCATAACATTGAAGGCATCCTCATAGCCTGAACCCGGTTCGAACACAGCCCGAGAAATGACAATAAATTCTAAGGTGTCTGCCCGGTTGTCCATCCACTCCTTGTTCAAATGAATGGCGCCAATGAAAGTTCCTTTCAAGGTGGTGACCAAGTAAAGTTTACACTTACCACTGTTAGCATACCAATCATCGCCCCTTGGGGAGGGGTAGATAGGACCTACTCGCAGATTTGCAGAACTCGTCCAGAAACGTAGGAGGTGGGAAACGGGAGGCATCAGAGCCTTATTATATTGCAGCTCGCCCATTTCAGCGTCTTCACTCAGCTTCCACGCATTGTCACTGTGCTTTTCCCGACTCCCAGAATCGAATGACTTGATGATGATATGACCACCATGGTCATCAGGTCTATACCATTTGATTACAGGCTTAATGTCATACTTTGGAGGCATTGCATCCCTTTGAGCTAGGGCTGCAAAATCGCCTCCTTTCCACCCAGCCCACGACCAGCTAGGAAAGCCAAGGTTTCTACGGTCTGGGAAATGGTTGATGGTTTGCCAGAGCATTGCCTTGTCGAACACGGACTTGGGTAAACCCCAAATATGGGTATCCCCTAACTCTGCACTCAATGACTTCAGAAGTCCAGCAAATGCATTCAGCGCATCACCTTCATATTTTAGATTTCGAGAAAAGTATCCATTGACTAGTTTAAGATATCTTTTGAATGCTGACAGTTCGAGAGAAGGCTTGCGGCAACGTATCTCATCCGGGTCTTCTTCCAAAACAACATCAATGGTGGAGTCATTATTTTCTAATATGGTATCCTCAAACCATGTGGCTCCATTGCAATGATAGAAGATCTGATGCCTGGTGAAAATCAGAAGCCGCTTTGACAATATCTTCTCCTGTAATGTCCAACCACGCGTTTCCCAGGTAGAAAGATTGAGAGCAGACGAAAAGGGGCAAAGAGCTGTTATCATGTTCACCCCATTAAAGCTGTCAGTGAATTGAGTAACAGACCTTGAGCCAGGAAGTGCTCCGGGTAACCCTGCATTTGCATCAGGCCCAGCAGCGCTAACAATTGTTAGCATAGCGCAGCTGTAGATGACATCCATTTTGCCAATCTGCTGCTGCTTATCTCCCAAGTCATCCTGCATTATGCACAAGGCGTCAACCCAGAGGTATTCTTCTCCAAGCATTTCAACAAGGGCAACGGCGTCCATGATAGACTTTGGAATATCTTGACTTCCATTCGAAATGCCGCCATCTTTTGTCAGTCTCGCAAATGTTCCACTTTCCAATTGTAACTGCTCCACACCACCCCATACATAGCTCAGTGCCATATATCTGCAGTTTGGCGGTGCCTTGACCACGCAGCGTCGCTTTACATCAATTAGCCTCAAGGTTAGGTCAGGTTCATCGGCCCAACACCCTGGCCTGCAATTATGATGATCCGCTTCACAACGGGAGAGCCAATCCAAAATGAGAGTTTTATCCATCTGTGCCTGGCCAATGGGTCGACCAAGAAGCATCAAATCTCTGCTCCTCTCCAATGTATTGGGAGCTAAAAGCTGGATACGATGACTGTACTCTGAATACGATGGTTGGATATAGTCGATGTGTGAAGAATCCAGATCTTTATCCATGAGATCAAACCGAAGGCGAGAAACACGTTTCACCGTGTTAGGATCATAAGGTCCAGAATGAGTAAAACCAAAATCTTCAACAGTCATAGAGCACACTGTCGATTCAGGATTCAGGTCCTTGACTGTATAGTCTATGCTTACAACTTTTAGCACCAAAGAACAGAATCGGCACTCTCTTGCAGCTGTCATGAGGTCAGGTAATGTCCACTCTCTCTCCGGCTTATATGAAGCCTTTCTTCTGAACAATGATACAAAGTTGTCTCTCATCGCACACTCCCCACACATGCTGTTTTCGGGGAACTCGCTTCCAAACTCGGTCTCCATGTTATCCATCCTCGGACTGGATTGAAGGGCTTTCAAGGTTCAAACTGCAGGATTGGCCAACACATAAGCAGTGAGCAGTCCAGAGACATTATTCGCCCTCGTACAAAAGAGTAAGGTTGGAATTTTCATTCATGACGAGTTAGCACTTTCACAAGCTGACAGACCATAATGAAGATGTGGATGTTTCTATATTCAATGTGTGCAAGCCCTCGGCAAGACAAGCTAAATTAGGAAACAAGAAAGTATGATGTAAGGTGGCTTGTGGTGAAAGAGGAAGTAATTACTCACTCTTACATTTCTGCGCTGAGTGAGAGGGTACAAGTTCTTCACAAATTGTATGGCTTGCCTAAGTATGCAATGTGGACTAATGCCAAGTAGAAATCACAATTTACGCAAAGGATTCACAGACAGGTACTAAAGTTTCAACAAAGCCAGAAAAAAAACCAGACCACTTGCTACTAACTTACAAAAAAAGGGGGGAGGGCACTCGACAGCTTATTCGATTCCAGATCGCATATACTTGCCAAATGGAATGCGTCGATTGAATGTGAGGTTCACATCGATCAAACATTTCATCCCACAAACATTGTTGAACAATCTGATAAAGAGGTAGCAGCTCATAATGGTACTGAAAGTTCCAGATGACAAAAAGTGCAATATCTATATTTATACCTGTTTTACTGCAAGCTTGATTTTCACCTGTGTGATCCAACTTCTTTCCAGGCAAGGGTCAATTTCAGACCTGAAACAAAATCAAAGTGACAACAAAGACATGGCGTATTGACCTCTGCAGCAAATGCTTCCTCTAGTTACAAAGAAAACTCCTAGCAGACTGCTGAATACCATGCTATTCAACTTCTGACATATGAAATACACACTGGAATTCAATCAGACAATAAGGAATCAAAAAAAAAAAAAAAAAAAAACTTGCGGAACTTGTGACTAGTTTTCCTTTTAATTCCAAAACAACAATGCTTGTGTGCAAGAGAAAGAGATTTCACCGGCGACATTATCTCGCATGAGGAAAAGTGGGATCAAAGGAGTCTATTCTCCTTTAAACATTTGCCTGCTTGCGAGAACAAGTATCAACACAGTCGATGCAGATGGTGTAGTGGCCCAATGATGCAATTAAATAGTTCTGAGGAGAAAAGAACACAATTCCAACAATCCGATGACTGGGACATAAAGAGATATATATCCACATGAATCTCGATATCTCCATGCTGACAAGTATGGCTTTGAGGCAGACCCCAACTTGGCAACAGTAATGCTGCCGCAACGTACTCTGGCTACAAAAGCGCACTAGTCAGCATGTTATGAAATGGATCCTCCAACCCACCACCAAAGAATTAGGGGACCAAACAGTTTGAACAATACCGTCAAAATTACATCTGAAGGTGCACAATCTGACTCACTCATACCTGCAATTCCGGATCAGGACACCGCTTCCACTAGCATGTGTTCAAATGGACAACCATCCTGAAACTTTAGCCCTAAGCAAAAAGTTTGAGCGGCATCTCCTTCCCGAAATATGGTTCTGCAACCTCGAATTCTCCGGCATGGCAATGCCAAGCAGCAACTAAGTTGCAAGCTTAGGTCCCCCAAAGAGTGACCGCGCTAGTAGAAACGAAGCCTTGGGCGGTCAGGCCAGGCAGCCTCACCAGGCAGGCAGAGCCTCGTCGCTAAGCAGCACCGAGAAAGTGCGACCGCTCGGGGCTTGGCACACTTTGAAAAAAAAGATATCATAAATGGATAAAACTTCATGGATTCATAAATGGTCAAAGTATGTTGACTTCCAAAATTTCTTCTTACTAAAATCTCCATAACTTTTTGATTGGAAGCTTGGAATGACATGTTAAGAGTAGTTTTGCTTGTTAAAGTGCAATATTTTGAATGTCTAGAATTGCCTTATATCTACAAAATTTGTACTAGAATTGGAGGATGACAAGCCAATGCTCCATTTCCTCCTTCCAAATGGCCCTCTCATGTGCTAATGTCTCATTCCAAGCAGAAAAGAGCCATCTTTCCCAAGTTTTTTAAGGTGATTTGTAACATTAGTGTGACCAAGACATTGATTGAGGGAGGAACAGACTCAATGTATTGCAAGAATTGTGACCATGAAATGTTGGTATAATAAAGTTGGAGTTCTATAATTCAAAACTAGTGTTGAAGTTTTGTAATTATAAAATATAAACTCAATTGTAGTTGAAGATGTTTGTTGTTTCAAACCAAGGTACAAATTCTAGAATATAAGGCAATTCTAAAAATTCAAAACATTACTCTCTAATATTTAAAACTACTCTTAGCATATCATTCCAAGCTTTCAATCAAAAATTATGAAGGTTTTAATAAGAGAAGGTTTTGGAAGCCAACATACTTTGATCATTTATAAATCCATGAAGCTTTTTCCATTTATGATATATTTTTTTTCAAAGTATATCAAATTGAATTTCTATCTTTTAGTTCTAAATTTTCTTATTTTAAATCCATACTATCATCTAAAATAAATAAAAACCAATACAATAAGTTGAAATGCTATTTTGAATTGCTTACTTTGAAGCAATAAAAAAAATTTTAAAAAAATCATTAATTAGTCATTTTGGACAAAGTTAAACATTTCTAGCTTTATTTTGGTATGCATTAAGAAAGAGAATAAGAAATTATAAATGGTGCTCAAAAATGAAAAAAAGAATTGGATGTTAGGAGGTTAAGTTATTGTGTCAACTTCCCATTGAACCTTGGAATTTTGAATAAAGGCCCATTTGCACTTGGAGGTAAGAGAGGTGTTAGGAGGAGAAATAGGATTAAATATAGATTTCAATTGAGACTAAATTCACTTCTTAACACTCCCCTAACGCCTCCACTACCTCTAAGTGTGAATGGACCCTAAGTAAAAGACTCCTGCTCCACTGCGTGGGGACAAGGTGAGTGGGGAGCCCGGGTATCAAACGTCCGTGGCGTGGCCGGGTCAGCATGCGTGGCAGGGTCACTTGCGAGGCAGCCCGTCGGGGCAGGGCACGGCGACGGGAGGGGCCGATCGGGGCCTGGGCGTCGGGGAGCGGTAGGGGGAGGCCAGGGAGTCGGGCAGCTGGCGGTTGGGGGAGGCGCAGGTTCCTTTCCTGTCCGCCGTTAGTAGCGAGGGGCGGAGTCTGGGCCAGGGACACAGGTGGGCAGCGGCCCCGCCTGGGCAGCATGCACGAGTCTATTTCGTGACGGCGAGGGGGAACTATCATAGTAGTGCTTTTTATGAGGAAGTCTTTGGTGGGCAAGCTCCGTGGTGGGAGGAAGATGCATCACTAACATCGTTCACGGCGTCGGTCTCTTGATGTTTCTTGAAGAGGGAGTTAAGTTAGATTGCAAAGTTTCAAGAATCCTTTGAAACCTCAAGATTCAGTTGGTCCCTTATTCGATCGATCTGATGTGTTACGCTGCGTTGGAGATCAAAAGATGTGTATTGAATCGATAGGTAGGGATCGTGACCGACAGCAGCTCTTTTGTTGCTCCAAACTGTATTAACTATCTGCTTCTGCTGGTCAAGCGGCAGACGGGCATCTGAGGGAGAAGCAGTTCCGGTCCAAGTCATGAAGAGGACAATGAAGTTCTGCAATCCATCCTCAGGTTCAGAAAGATGTCCTGCGTGCCTGTGGCAGTCCCAACTGCTTTGCTACAATTGAAGCTGGTACGTCTGGATCAACTGTGTGAAGCGATCTTGGTAATTTCTTGGGTTCACTGTTTAAATTCCTCATTCTCTATGGAGCCGTAATTGAAGTGATGGGGTTTCGTTTTGAAGTACTTCATTAGGTTTAGCATCTGTGTTGATCTGGGATGCATTGTTTCAGTTGAATGGTTTCACAGTTGTCTCATATTCAGAATGTCAGTTGAGGATTTCGTCTCGTTTGAGAGAATTTCCAGTGGGATCCCGTCAGTTCTGATCTTGTGATTGCTGAAGATCAAACGGGTGGGCATTAGTTAAGTGGAGTTATTCACTGAGAGTTTTTGAGTTGCGGGTGCTGGGGGGAAAGGGTTGGGGTTCTAGTACTAGTGCAATTCTCAACATTTATCTCCACCCGAGCCAAGGTCTGGCATGTTGCAACATGGCGGCCCCCATCTTCCCAGACACCCGATGGCTGGGCGAAGAGCACGACATGTATGAGCGAGTATCTATTGAGGAGTACTCAGAACTTAATCGAGTCCGTAGATCGTCCAGAGTTATTGATTCGAGTTGTGAATACCTCGCAAAGCTGTAATGCCTGATTACGTTCGGCCTATTGGAAGCAGTGATTGAAGTTAAGATTGCTGAAATTCAACTGCTAGAATTTAACAGCAGCGGTGAATAAGTGTTGACGAGTAAACATCTCCCAGGTCTGTTGCTGGATTTTCGAAACCGTTTTCTAGAACTATAAGGAAACGACAGAACATGCATCCCTGTCGTCTGTCACGAGTGGGCAAGGCGCATTGAGGCTGCGTACACTCACGCATACAACGGACTATTTTCCGAAACCTTGGAAGAGTATTACAGCACGTTTTTTTCGGCCGGTCTGGAACCGCAGGTGTTGGCGGATATTATCATTCAGATGGCTTGCATCTTTGAAGCAGTTCATGTTTCAACCTTGGTATTTGATCCGGAAGTGAGGCCGAAGGTGCACATCGGAATCACGTTCATGTGGGCTCAGCTAATCCCACATCGGTATAGGGCAACTATCGTTCCGGGAGGATGGTGCCCGGCAATTGACGTGGGTATAATTGCAAGAGACGGCCTAGCATGCATTCTAGGATATGCCCGTACTTTGAAAAGCCCTCAAAGCAGATCGTCCGTGGGACATGGGGCAAGTAAACCAGAGTCATGCGTGGTGAATACAAGAGATACGACCAATAATCCACCAAAACATGTCTCTGAATCATGCGAGTGCAACAATTCTATGCCTTTGTTGGAGGATGTCAAGCGTTTTCTACAGAATCGGAAGATACCGGCTGTGGATTGGTGTCCTGTACAGGACAAGCTAAGAGTCAAGGACTCCTCCAGCACGCCATTTGTAGCGATTTCTCATGTCTGGGGCGATGGGTTGCGTGGTACGACTGAGAAAGGTCTTCCTGAATGCCAAGTTCAGCGGCTTGCAAAAATGACGAAGGGATCCTGAAAGATCTGGGCAAGGCCGGGAACGGAGCCTTCTGGATTGATACTCTCTGCATCCCTGAGATGGATGACATGAAACACCGGGCGACATGGTTAATGGCCCAGACGGACAAAGAAGCGGAGGCAGTGGTGGTGATTGATTCTGGCATTCAGGAAATTTCGAGTTCAGCATTGTACGAGGAGAAACTTTTTAACGTGTTGTACTCACGATGGATGCAGCGACTTTGGACTTTTCAAGAAACGGCTATGGCTAAGAAGCTATACTTTGAGTTTTCGGATGGTCTTGTATCTCTGGATGAGCTTGTGCCAATTCGACAAGTTTCTTTCCTTGGTGACATTAACCCCGTGCTTTCTTCTCTGTTCGGTGAGGTTTGGGGGCTCCTGGGGTGCATTCCAGGAGATTTAGGCCTAGTATTCGTGTCTCGTATTTTCCGCCAACGATCCTTGAGCAAACCAAGTGACGAATTGCTTGCAGTATGTAGCGTGTTGAACTTGGACGGCTTTGAACTGGCGAGGATCTCTAATCCAGAAGAACGCATGGTTTCCTTCCTCCAGATTGGAAAGCTACCATCCTTAATCATCTTTGATTTACTCCTACCTTGTGAGTGGAGACTGGACAAGGAAGGATTTCGTTGGGCGCCTAAAACGTTCATGCGGGGTAATGAAATTGAATATGTGGGCTTCTTGAAAGGTGAGTGTGACGTGCTTTGCACATCCACTAGCCTTGAAGCAGAATACGTTGCCATAACCCAAGGCGTGGTGCTCGAGGGAGAGAAAGGCGAGTGGTACTTTAGCCACTTAAATGAAGGACGCACGTCCATATGCAAAGTTGAATATTTTACAAAACTTAGATCTGTCAATATTCCTTCTTGCAATGCGATATTGCTTGATGCAAGGAATGATGGGGGTTTTCCAGCAAAAATATATAATCTATATTTTCTGTAATCTTGCAAGATTTACAGTATCTGCCTCATCAAAACCTTATTTGGGAAAACCTGACTATAATCAAGGACAAAACATTAGATGAAGGAGAAAGAGTACAATGCCTTGTTTCAATCTATACTCATGGTAAAAACCCAATGGATAAAAATCCATCAAGTAGATAAAAAGGGTTGCCTAATTATTATGAGCAATCTCTTCTTTAATACACTCACTAGTTCCCTTGCTCAAGAAAAACAAGTCGCTGCATACCAATGCCATAGACAAGTTTGCGATAGATGTATAATGAAAGAGCCTTAGTGAAGAGATCAGCAAGGTTGTCCATAGATGCTATTTTCTTGAATTCAAGCATCCCTTTTGTCACCAAGTCATAGGTGTAATAAAAATACTTTCAATCTATATGCTTTGTTCTATCACCTTTGATGAAGCCAACTTGCATTTGTGTTACACAAGCAGTATTATCTTCAGATAAGATAGTTAATGTATCATCATGCAAAAGCCCACAAGTTGTTCGGATGAATTTATCAACTAATCACAACCAAACACATTCTCGAGATGCTTAATATAAAGCAATAATCTCTATATGGTTGGATGATGTTGCAATTACAGTTTGTTTAACTGATTTCTATGAAATTGCAGCTCCATGTCGTAAGAAAACATATATTGTTTGAAACTTAGCTGTTGCAAGATCAAATTTATAACCAACATCAGCATATCCAACCAATTGTCAAGGACAAGAACTCGAATGAAAAGTAATTATACATGTGAATCTTCTCTCAAAGAAAGGTGACAAAACATAAGTAAAGAAGTATGTATATTAAAAGAAAACTAGAATGGCTATTGCCAAAGATTAGAAAACATGAAGACTCTTGAAACTAGACTGAAAACAAGAAAGGAATTGATAAGAGTGAAGATGGCTTCATTCTTGCTTTTATATATACTATCTAATTAAGAGCTACGTGGCGATATATTATTGGACCTCTAATATGCGTTCAACTTGCAAAACACATGTCTAATTTGTAAAGCAAGTTGCGTAGATGTGTGCCATATGTCTAACCTGTACTACAATTAATTAATGTATTCACACTTGGCCACCTTATTGGCTAAGTTTTCAACCTATCAATCACCTATAGACATGTATAAAGGTGAAATAGCATCTATGAAACTTCTTGAGAAGCTTCCACACAAAATGTTAGAAAATCAATCTACTTTTATCTACTTCTACTGATTCATATTTACCTAGATAATAATTATTGGAATTATGTATCTATGACATTATCCCCCCTTCTAGGGACGAGTTCAACGAGGAGCGGTCATCATATGTTAAGAAAATCTATGATGCAACGAATTATATTTGCCACATACTCTGATCTTTGTTCTCTTTGAAGATGATTGATGGGGCTTCTCAACCATTAATAGTGTTCCATTCCAAGGCAATGTCGTATGGCGTGATTTGCTATCTGGGAATACACTGGGTATCTAGCTGTAGAGAGTGTACCTTAAACCTTTATATGATTCTTTTCTTAGCTTCCAAAACTCCTTTATTTTTGTATAAAACCCCAAATATAACAAAATCCCTTCAAAACATATTTTTCCCGTGAAGGGTTTTCTCACCCCGAACTTTAGAAAATCATAACTATTGATCTAACCATTCAGTTTGTTTCAAATTTTATAAGATAGGTAGAATTTATCCTTAACTTTTACCACAAAAAAAACCAACTGTAAATTCACTCCCGATCTTCTGGCATCTAAGAAACCCTAGCAGACACTCTAAACCCTAATTTACAAGCACCCGAAAAACTATTTTCCTAATATTTCAAAAACCCGAACTCCAAATGTCATAAAACTTATGCATAAAGTTTACTAACATGAAATTACACATTCCTTGAAATTTTGAGCCAAAACCTTGCCAAATTGCTCAAGACATAGCTCAAGAGACAAACACTAATAAATCGGTTTACTTACTACCCTTAGATTGCATGTGCTGACTTCAAAATCCAATAACTCCTTTACTTTAACTTAGAATCCAGTAAGCAATATAAGAAAAGTATAGCCGCAAAAGTGCTCTCTTTAGTCGCGGTCGCCGATCCTCAATTGCCGTCCGTACGCGTGCGTTGTGCCCAAAAGAGTGACAGTAGGTTTAAAACTAACATCGTAACTTTGAGCGCCTATAACTTCTTCATTAAAACCCCAAATGACACAAAACTTCCACCAAAACCTTAACCAAAAACCTAAACCTTCTGATTCTAGCCTTCAAAGTTCGAATGCCTTGAGAAACTAACCCTAATTCCTAATATATTCGGGTAGCCTCCTCAAAGTCCATTAGTCATGATTTTTGATCAATAGGAATGGAGATTTTTTTTTTTCATCTCCATTCATCTATATTGGTGCCCTAATTACTCCCTTTGCTACCAAAATCCTTCTTCAATCCTTTTTCTTATAAGATTTATATAATTTATGCTCTAAACACCAAATAAAAGAATCAAAATAAGTTTTCAAATGTCACCAATGTCTAACAAAGGTGACTCTAAATATTTAGAAGTTACTATCAACCAAAACCAATCTTAAAAGCCACTATCAAAAAGAAATTAAAGTTATACAAATTCTATAGTAATCTTTTTAAACAACCTCTTCTCAAAGTAATACTCAAATTGTATTCTACAACCAACTAAAATCTACTAACATGGCTCTCATCATGTTACTTAATAAATTATATATTAAGTACATAATTACATTATTTTCATATAGTAGCCGAACCACAACACAACAACGAGAAGACCACCCTGTTATTTGATCGCTGTTGAAGCCTTCATAATTTCCTTCAAATAAAACATCTGGAACATCGTCAGGAGTTGTTCCTACTTCTAATAAGATAACCAAACATTGAGAGTCTCTTCCAAGGTTGTGATACCAAACATCTTATATCTTGCCATCTATTCAAGGAAGAACATATCGTTCTTGAGGATCTTCATCTCGATTACGTTGTCTTGAAGGTTGTGACAATCTTAATGTCTCGTCTGACAAGTCAACAAATGAAGGCTCTTCAGTTGAAGTTGTTGGTTGTTGATTCTCCATCTCTTCAACGTCTCAAATACAAAGAAGCTACAAACAAAGATATAAAGTAGAATGTTATCTTGCCTAGAGCTTATTTTTTTTTATAGGGAAAGATCTTCATTTTGATTTAAATGGATATTGTCGATAAAAATCCTCCACCTTCTTTGCTGCATTTACAAGATTCTTTGCTGGCTTCCATGTACGTTCATTAATATCGTATCCGTGTCAATGAATAAGATATTCTAACTTATTTTAGTGTTGCCTTGAGTCTAAGACTTCTTTCACTTCAAATTCTTCATTATTATCCACTTCTATAGGAGGTGGTGGCATTTGTGTTCTTTCTTGTATATCCACTGTCTTGTATGGTTCAAGAAGAGACACGTGGAATATAAGATGGATCTTCATTGACTCCGGTAGGTATAATCGATATGCAACTCGATTGATTTGTTCAGAAATAGGAAAAGGTCCAAGCCTACGATAGTCCAACTTATCGCAAGGACGAGTAGACTTCATATTGCGATGGAGTAACCATACCTTGTCATCCATGTTGAATTGTAGTTGTTCCTTTCTATATACATCCGTATTTATCTTTTTTCATTCTTGGGCTTCTTTTAATTGCGCCTTCATTGTTGCATGTAACTCTAACAACCGATTTGCTATATCTTCTGCCATAGGATTATCAACTTTTGAAAAATCAAACGTGTCAAGTCGTAGATGATAACCATAATTGGCAAAGAAAGGTGTTTATTGCGTAGAAGAATGTACCGTATTATTATAAGCAAACTCTGCCAATGGCAGAAGAGTTGTCCAATCAACTTGTTGATAGTTGATGGTACACCTTAAGTATTACTCTAAGACTTGGTTTACGCGCTTTGTTTGTCCATCAGTTTGAAGATGAAAAGCTGAAGATAGTTTTATATCCACTTTTAAAATCTTAAAAAAGATTCTCTAAAATCTTAACACAAATTAAGTTTTCTGATTTGATATAATATCCTTTGATAATCCATGATAGTAATAAATATTGTTAATAAAAAGCTTAGTTGTTTCTTCACTTGTGATAGATTTTATACATAGCACAAAATGTGCCATCTTGGTGAAGCCATCTACTATTACAAATATAGAGTCATAGAAACATGAGCTTCAAAGATCTGTAATGAAATCCATAGAAACAAAAGACCATAGTTGTTCTGGAATAGGTAATGGCTGAAGAAGTCCAAAAGGTCGATGACGAGGAGTTTTTGATCTTGAGCAAACATCACATGATTGTACAAAGTCCTTGATTGCCTTTCACATTTAAGGCCATCAAAAGTCCATAGATATCAGCTCCAAAGTCTTATAATATCCAAAATGTCTTGCTATTGGGAAGTCGTGACAAGCTCAAAGAACACGTAATCATGCTTCACCTTTTGAAACATATAGGCATCTCTCAAAATAGAGTAGTTTGACTTTGAATTCAAAATTAGAAGTATCATGGGACTTAAAAGAATTACTCTTAATATCACGAATAAGAGGGTCTGAAGACATACTTAACTGGACTTGCTTGAGAAAAGTTAAATCAACAGTCAATGTTGATTTTATTACTCAAAGATGAAATTATTCCAGCTTCAAGAGGATCGTTCTTTGTTGCTCAAAGCTGCATCTCCTTCTTTTGGTATAAGATAAGAACGTCTAGATAGGACATCAGACAAACCTTATTGTTTTCTTAGCCGATAAGTGATAATAAACTCGAATCTTGATAAAGACATGCTCCAACGAGCTTGACAACAATTCAGCACATGTGTTGACATGAAATACTCGAGGTTCTTGTGATCCGTATATACGGTGATTGGATTGAAAGCGCCTTCTAGATAATAATGCCATTTTTGAAAGGAATCCACAATTGCGAGAAGTTCTTTATCATGGATCTCATAATTGATCTTGGCTACTGAGAATTTTCTTGAATGAAAGACTAGTGGATGAAATTTATCATCTGCTCCCATTTGTGACAAAATCGCATCCAAATCAAAGTCTGATGCATCTGTTTCCATAAAGAACGCTTTGGAAAAATCAACACGATACAAGATTGATACAAAAACAAACACTGACTTCAAAGCTTCAAAAACAACTTCTACTTCTCAATTCTATTGAAGTTTGTCTTTACAAGTCAAATGTATAAGTAGAGCTGCAACTTGAGAGAAGTCTTTGATAAAGATCTGATAATAATTGGCAAATTTCAAAAAGCATTAGACATCTTTTACCATCTTTGGAATCTTCCAATCTATGATTGTTTGGACTTTTTTAGGATCCATCATGAGACCATCATTTGAAATGATGTATCCTAAAAAGTCAACTTGAGTAATATGAAA